TGAATTGTAATAACAACCATTGTTCATTGGCATTATCATTATTCATTTTAATAGAATTATTTTATAAAATTTAACTTGTGGACGGAGGGTCATGCTTGTGGAAAGTTATTGTTATTTGTAATTTCTCGGTTGGCCTATATCATTTCTGTGTAATGCTCATAGGGGAAAGGGGAAATATGCCCTATATAAATATAACGTTTTTATTATTATTATTATTATTAATCTTATTATTATTAATATTTATACTCGACATACAGTTTTTTTTAGAATGTATGGAGCCATTTTGACCTAAATAATGATATGCCTAATACAATCTCGACTAGATACAGTACATATTAATTTTCATCAATATTCTGGCCCCAAACCTAGACTAGGAAAAAACAGGAATGTTGATCGAGGAGATTTTTTACTTCTAGAGGTTACTGTGTATAGTCAAACTGCTCTCTATGTTATTCCTGGGTTGTTTTGATCTGTAAATATCTGCTGTATCTAGAAAAAAGCTTTTTCAATCCTCAAAATGTGGCCGGGATATTCTTGAAATCGTGCCAGTGAATTCCCTTTCCGCTATGACTTAGGGGTTGCATACGTTGCTATACAAAAATCAATCAACCACCTTAAAGGGAAAGGCTCCTTAAAGAATTTCATTAAATTTCCTAAAGGATTCTAGCATTTTTTTTCATAATAAAAAAAAAATTTTGTATTAAAATACTCTCATTGTTAAGACCCTTTGGAAACGGTATTGGAGTGAAATTTCCAGGAATCTAGATTTGCTACATCCTTATTTTATACTTTCATTTCCAACATTAGTGCATGCTAAAGGTGGGTGTTGAGACTCCTGGTATGTTCTCCCTATTTTTTAAGAATTTTGCAATAAAGTATTTGATCTACTAACAGTCTAATAGTGTTATATCAGGCCATAGATTTGCCAATGAAACCCTGCATGTTTTCATCTTAGCCCAGTCCCAACCATGTACTGTAATATTTGAGAATGCTATTTCTGGAACTTAAAGTTTAATCCATCCATTTTTGTTTCGCCGCACACCCAGCCTAACGCGCCTGGTACTCGCCCTCCCTATTTTCTCCCAAAAACATATTTGATATAATTAAAAATTGAACGGCAAATGTCAAATTAAGACAATTTAGAATAAATATTTTAAGTGTGCGAATGCAATTTCTGGGCATATAGTGTAGTTTTTTGTGTTTTTTTTTCGCCTCAGCCACAACCATGGTGGTTTTGAGGTGGGTGTAAACTTTCCTGGTATTTGCCATTTTCTCTCACTTTACGTACCGTATTTCAAATTAAACGTCAGCAATACTGTTAAATTAAGACACATGAGTTCAATTGCAACCGTGGTGGGTTTTGACTAGGTGGGCGTGGCCATTCTAGTACTTGTTCCCCTCGGAAATTTGTTAACCCCCTTCCCCGTTTGAAGATAGGATGCTCAGCTTGCGTATTCAAGGTGTAGCTTTCTGTTTTGGATTACTCGATGCCTTTTATTGATTGGATATTACGTTTGGTTTTGTTTTTCTCTCATTCTCCTTTCAAAGGCTTTCATCAACACTGTAGTGTGGATCAGCCAGGAATGACACCTACTCAGCCGTTCGGGGTGGATTGTGAACTAACTGATTGCATTTGGGGAAAAAAGGGTGATAACTTTGAGAAGTGTAAAACGGATTGCACACACACGATCGCAAGCTGCACAGACTATCTCAAACGGTATGAAGATAATAGTGAAAACACTCCTCCTGTCCCCAATAATCCATCCTCTGTCCCCAGTGAAATGAACCCAGAGGGCAGTGGACAGACGCGGGATCATGACGACAGTACTAAGATGGTTTCTACAGCAAACATGGAATCGTCTGAGCCGCACGCGACAACACAACACAATACGTCGGGAGATCAAAGCGAAATCACTAATACGATCGGATACCATGTTACAGGGGATAGTGCCCTGGTTAGTGATTTGGAAACAGATGAAAAAACAGTCTCTGACAACACGGACAACTCCGTTAGTTTTCAGCATCAGGAAATTGAAGTAATAAGTACGGAATATCACAGCACACACGGCGGCAGGGTGACAGTATCGGATACAACGACAGTGACAGGTACGTTATCTAGAAACGTATACCGGTATTGTCTATTAGTCGGGGCACGCTGCGTTGTACGACCGTCGCGCCGGCCGACAAAACTTCGACGCGAGGACGTCTACTGATTGTCGGCGGCAGTCTTAGCGAACCGTCAATAATAACAATCTAATACACGCGCATCGTCGCATTACATTATCTTTAAGCTTGGTTTCAATAAAATCGCTACACAGTCGCTACAGCGTTTTCACTGCAATTCTTGCACTGCGTAGCTGTCCCCATCGCAATCAGGGAGGCTCCCTGATTCAACGGACAAATTAGAATCATGCTACGGAGTCGGCGATTCCGTGTAGTGATTTTATGGAAACCATGCTTAAGACCTCCTTGTAAATCGTGAATGCTCCCCGACGATTTGACTGACCAATTAGCATCGCCAAAAATTGGTACGGCGATGGCGTGTCTATAGCAATTTTATGGAAACAGGGCTTACTGTATACCATCGCGTCGGCCTACGACCGTCTGCACAGTGTGTACTTGGCTTTACTGTATATCCTTTTTCTTTAATTACTTTATTGAAAAAGCTTTCATTATCATAATAATATACTCAGCAGCTTCACTAACATCATTGTTATCATCATCATTATTATTACTAATATAGTATTATAATTTATTATTATTTTCATCATCATTATGAATATTATTGTTATCGTTATTTGTAATTGTTGTTATTCTTAACATCATCATCATCATCATTAATATACTGACTTTAGAATACTCTCCATTTTGTAGGAATAATGACTACCGATAAGCCTATTGGAAGCGGTAGTGACACGAATGAACGAACAACAAAAACAGATGACAATATCAGGGCTGGTAGGTTTCACTCAAAGCATTATGCATGTGTTATAACTGGTTGCGTTTTACCTGTTGCTTAAATCACCATCTTCAACGATAATTATAATAACCACTCAACGTCATCATCATTGGAAAAGACAGAAAATAAATTATCTCGGAAATCTGTCTTCTTGCTGTATTCCATGTTTTCAGAGATAATTATCTTGCACCCTCGGAAACTCCGAAAGTCACTTTAGACTTCCGTACGTAAGTGTCTTATTTAGCTTCTTCTGTAAAACAGTGCCAGAAAGGACCACCACCAACTAACAACACATCAAATTATCTGTATACCCATTCGCTAGATTCCGAAATAAATATAATAAAGCCTGGACTGCGACCCGTGCGGGAGCGAAGTCCAGCGGCATCTCGGGTGAATTGGAAACTACGCCGACGGGAGCCATTCGGCTCTTCTTAATGAAGTGGCGTATTTAGGGGTAAGCGAGGGTAGTAATGAGCACCCACCTATTTCGAGACTCCTACATATGCCAAAACTAGGAGAGTCAAGTCTTACGAGCGCATTATACTGGGGCCAGGAGGCCGGCAAGGGGCCCCAGCAGGCTCCGGAAAATGTGTGTTATTTTGCGTGAAAAAAAAAAACAGAATTGAGAGGTTTCACCGCGTTAATTTCTATAAAACATTTAACAAAAAAAATCAGCCTTAACGCAATGTGTAAACAAGAAAAGGTACACTTATTATATAATCATGAACCTCCGATGAAGGCCTCTTTAAAGTAGGTCTTAAAAGCAGGCATGTTGTTTTATTACACTGCAAGCATTTTATTGGACATGAGAAAGTGTAGGCCTATTTATCTTATTATCGCTTTCATATCATTTCCTTTAATAGTGTTTCGCCAATAATATGACGCAGTTAACGGTGCACCGTCACGCGTCTAATTTTCGATAATCTGATTGTATTTGTTGTCAAAAGATATTACAACTTTTAAGGTGGTCGCTTACGGGAGGTATATCATAAGAAAAATCCAAAAGTCAAAAAGTGTTCGCGGTCGCTTATTTAGTGATGGCTTACGATAAGTGTCAAATGCACTGATTAGACAAACTGGACCATAAGAGTTGACGTTAATGGAGGTGATAGCTTACGGGAGGTTGTCGCACTGGGAGGCTAAACTGTACTATACCAGGGAAGAGTTAATTTACACTCTTCCCTTATCATGCCAAATAGTATTGTAATAAATTACAATGTTTTCATTTCCTACTTCGATACGGGCAACCAGGGAGTTAGCATGATTGTAACAAAACTAAGATCTCATATAAGACTACACCGGTTACAGTACCACAAGGCGTAACGCCTATGGGCTCTCGGGGCTGGGGGAAGTAGCCCTGTGGGCCTACGATCAGCACTCTTTGAAAAGAGCCGTGACAGTGTGGCCCAATAGAAGACACCAAAAACTTTCAAGTTAATACAATGTAATACCACGTGTTTAAATCACGAAAATTTTATTTAAGTAGACTTTTTTACAATATTCAATTCCTTTTTCACAGCCAAGCTCTACTGCAAACTGGAATTTAAATAGTCCGAAATAATTAATAAAGGGCTAAAAACAAAGAATTCAAATTATATTATAGTACCGGTAATAAATATACGCTACTGCATTGTTTGATATTCCACTGAAGGGGCCCTA